AAGCTGAAGGCTCGCATGTGAAGTAGCCGGGAAAGCCTCTCCGAAGTGCTGTCCCTTCGTAGAGTGAATAGGCGTGCTTGTTGGACGTTGGAAGCCGTAACGTCGGCACTTTGCACGTTGTCAGCAGAACGTGGAAGCAAGCTTAGATGACGCGCACACGAGCAAAGACCGAGATGTCGAGTTAATCAGGAGCACAGGACACACCTGCGCTGACGCGGTGACGTAGCACGATAGGTAGCTGCTGTGGTGACACAACTCCGCGCGCATTACTAGCAGCAAAAGCGGAAAAATCACGTGGCCTCTTCACGACAATCTTCGTCACGCTCGGGGAAACTACGGTTAAGCCCGCCCGCTACAACGGCGCTGCGGCAGGCGACGGCAAGTCAAAATTTGCCGTGCAGCTTTCCACGTATCACTGTCGCAGACATCCCCGTTTTGAATCCTGGGTGTACCGCAGTATTCATGTGTGAGTTCGGCATATCCTCAACGACTTGCCGGGTGAACTGAAAAACCAGGCTGTTCTCACCAGGGGTCACGCACGTGCGCTGCGCGCACGGGGAACACGTGAAAGCAAACAGGTGTACCTACCTCCTCACTGTGCCATTTGCAATATAGGAAGACCGGGTGCGTGTCGGGTCCGTTTACGTTGACTATGTCAAAAACCGGGAATGACACGTTGTACTTGGCAATAAAAGTCCTTGATCACCTGCGGATTGGTGTACTCCTGCTCCTTAAACTGCCGGCATGCAAACCCGAGAACCTACACACAGCACGCGGGACGCCGCAGTTATACGCGTGTTTTTCAGAACAGCACACACCTGCGGCCTAAGGGATCCGCCGAGGCACAAGCACCAAAACGTACATTGGCTACTGATCTTGAACCAAAGAGCTTCCCCCTTTCGCGCCACCAGCCCCCAGGCTCGATCGCACTCTGCATGTTGTTCGAAGGTGTGCGCCTCTGGCATGTCAGTGCACCCCTGTGCTCGTCCGAGCGCACAAAAAAGTGCAAACGAGCGTCTTCGTTGATGCGAAGCGAAACGCCGTTTTTTACCATCGAGTGAAAAACAGGGGGTGTCAGATGCAAGACGTTCTCTGCTGTACTCAAGGTAATAGACCTGAAGGAAGCATAACCAGACACTGTGTACGCTGTGAAGTAAAACTTCGTAGCGGCGCGTACGCACTCCTCTACATCTGCTACTCGGGAACCGCGTACGCACGTGCCCCCATCATCTGTACACAGATGCACACATATGCGGATGCTACGCAGCCCTACTACCGACTGGGCACCGAAATCTGTACAGCAGAGCGCCGATGGAACAATATACGTGTGACACAACGCACTACCGGCAGTGACATGGTAGCCCATATCCTTACCGTAGCTGTATCAAGACACGCGCGCTCAACTGGCACGCATGCCTACACGTGCTGAGTGCAAGCTGGAGTGACGTTTAGCTCTATCCTGCGTACATAGGGGAACACACGCTGTTGTGGCGGCAAACGCACGATTTCGGGGCGACCCAGGTGCGTGCATGGGTGTGTGTGTTTCCAGTTGAAAGTTGGAAATGCTCCGCCACGCCTCCGGAAGAAAGAAACCTTCGCAATGTGAGAGATTTACTTCGAAACCTTGAGGGTAAAATCTGTCGTATAGCTGCATCAACTCCTCGTAGTTGACGTCTGTCGTCGTGCAGAGAGAAGCAACATTTGTGATAAGCTTGACCTGCACGCATCAACAGCCATCGCCAGTGCCAGCGTCATTTAAAGGCATATAGCAGACTGCGTTAAGAAGAGGCAATGTGCTACAGCCAATAAGAAGAAGGTGAGGGACGCAGTGTGTTCCTGCACAGACGCATCGTATTGATAAGCTCGCTTCAGACCTCGTCTTGAGGTACCGTAAACCCTGAATAACCCTGCCAATCAGCCTTAAGGAGCTGCCGCACGCGCCGCCGGGCTGCAGCACGGAGGTGATGATAGTCCTCGCCACGCTGCCTGAAGGCGTCTAAGACAGGCTCAAGCTGTACTTCGCCTCGTCCGCGACCTCTGCTGCCCCGTGAGTTTTCCACGAGCAACACCGCTTGCCCGCTTTACCCAGCTTCGTCCTGCAGCCTTGGCGCCCCCGTGATTCTACCACGAGCAAGCTCTGAGCTACAGAACGCGTGCCTTCCCGAAAATTTTTCCTATGTATTTTCCAAAACGGTTGCGTACGTCCTGTGCGGTCTCCCACTGCGTCCACAGACTTGTACGCTTCGAACAGTACCTTGCTCGTTACTCTACGCACCCACTGAAAACTCACCTTGCCATCGTACTCCGCCATCGAGTGGTCAACTTGATCGAGATCGCGGGCAGAAAGGGAGGTGAAAACACGGGGAATTGGTGTATGACCTCCTTCTCCGGCAGTCGCTTGGTGATGCGCCGTCTCTCTAGTAAGTTGCGTGCCTTCTGTTCCCAGTCCCGTGCTCCCCTTGGCCAGAAACTTTCCCGCCTGCTCCTTGCTTGTGGAGCGGAGTGTCCACTATGATGTCGACCCGCTCAGGAGACCGTGGCAATTCCGTTTTTTCCACTCGCCATTGCTATCTCAGTACACGAGAAATCGAGCCGTAAACGACTGCTCATGCAGAGAACTTTTACTCAAAAAAGATCTGGGGCAAATGAACTAACTAGCGCACCGTGCTGCACATGGTGGCTGAGCCCCGCCGTGCGCGTGCGCAAACGCCAGCAGACACTGTTTCTTTCAAAAGAAAGCGACGCCCTACGTGGTCGGACCTCCAAGCCTCGAGGTGGTTTTTTGGCAGTTTCGCTTGCAAAGCAACGTGATGCGTCGCTGAGCGCCGTCCACTTACCTGCTTTACGTTTGCCCCGCGACCCGTTTCCTCTGCGGGCGCTGGCAGGACCTCTGTGCCTATCCCTGATTGCTCCACTGCACACAGTGTACTTCATTGTGGAACGGGCGGTTTATCCTGGGCGCGGTCGGCTTGGGCCACACCGTCGCCTGAAGTAACGTTGGCCTCTCATCAGCCGCAAAGGGCGGAGAAACGAGAGGATATAAAGCAGGGCCGGCACCACTACACGGAAACGGAATCACTATCGCTGCACTCCGGTCACGAAAGAATTCTCGATCCCGCACAGCCTCTTTCGAGTTCGAACTGATACGTCGCAGATGCAAGCACAGAATGATCATAGAATGGTACGGCTAGTAGACTCCTTAGCGAGCGCGACCTTGCCAAGGCTCCGGTCTGTAGGCACAGGGAGAGGCACTTGCCCGGAAGTGCAACGAGTTTGCGCAGGAAGGACGGAAACAGCCGGCAGAGGTCATTTTGGTGTTTGTGATAGGTAGAGCATCTTGCGACTACCGCGCTAGCCCTAGTGCCTGCCAAGCTGCTGCTTCCGACAGAGCGTTCTCGTGAAGCCGTGACGCGGGCGGGCGGAAGTATGGCGCACGCGCAGGAAGGCGGCTTCCACCCTGTCAGAAGCGGCGGCTTAGCATACGGACTTGTGGAAAGACTTCTACGTGCACGCCTTCCGGTTCATAGCGCCGTGATCGTGGACGGCGCGCACACACCTATATTATGTTAGACAGTGCGCTTGCGCAGCTTCCTGAGCGGTTCCGCCCAGCACCGGGCGGACGCCGCTGAAGCCGCCCCGGATTTTTTCGAGCGGAAGCAGCCTTTCTCATCCTACTGCTCTACCAAGTCTTCTTGTACGAAGCGTTGGGCCGCACCACGCGTCGCCTACGCAAAAACTTAGGGTCTCATGGTGCTTCGAGGTCCGGTTTGTGCAGAGTGCAGAACAATGAAACACGCGGAATTGAACCGATACCGCGCTCCAACAGGAGCACGTACGGGACTTCCACGCCGCCCGTATCGTGAACACAGGTCGATGACCCTGCGCCGGCTTAGCGGAGGCTGTGTGAGGGCCCTGGCACCGCCAGGCACTGCCTCCCGAGTACGGCACTCCACACGATGCTGAATACCATCTCGAAGCTCTACGGCGTGTTACTCAGTATTTTGTGTTCGACCGGTGAGGCGTCATTTGCAGCGGAAGAAGAGTTTAAAGGCACCTCTTCGTAGTTTCGCCATTTGACGCCCGGCAAACCCTCGGGGACTCTCGCCCTGTACTTCGGCTCCCAGCCTCAACTGCACGTAAATCAGAGCTGCGCACCGGATGGGTTTTCACATTGATCCCGCACTGCGGCCAACAAGCACACGCACGCGCTATACAGGCTCAAACACCGCTGCACGGAGCCAGTCAATGCACGTGAGCCTCCCTTCCACATAGGCTTCTTCGCACCAGTGCAAGCGGATCTCTGAGCTTCAGGTTTAGGCGAGCTGCAAAATGCTGGCGCTACTTTTCTGGCCGCTACAGTGTTCGGACGCGAACACCTCCGTGGGGCAGGAAGTTACTATGAAACCTATGTGCGGCAGGCGGATCTAAAACTGCACTCTGGTATTCCTTCAGCCGGGGAACTTCGAGGCAGCGGCGTGCCGGCCGCGCAGGACAACCCCCCCCTTCGCCCTCCGCACACAGCGGTTACTCTGGTTCGCACTTTGCTTCGATCAGAAATGCAACGAGATAAAGTCCCGGAGGGCGGGCCGACAGGAGATCACACACCGGGGGAGGGACAGCGTTTCCGGCTCCGTCTCGCCGGAGCAGCAGCGAAACGAGGGCTACGTTCGCCCGCGCCTCTCGTGCTGCTTATCAGCCGTCCATAAATCTCTGCGGCGGTACGACGAGAGCACGTTCCGCGGCTTCGGAGGAAACAGAAGCCACAACCAGATACTTGGTGATTGCGGCGCCGTCAACGAAGCCGCGTGTACGCTGCTAACGCCCACTTGAAGTAATGCTTACGCATCGACTCTGGCGAACTTGCAACCTGACAGAAGCTGCTGCGGAACGCTGTGCACATGCGTACGCACAGAGCATGTGCTTAGCTTCTTCTTTTACAACACTGTATCCACGAGCCAGTCACGCTCCTAAGGCGACTGAAAACTGCGTTTCGCGAGATCGTTGTGGACATACTGCGGATCCTGCCGATACGCATCATATCTTTTTGACGGAGGGCATCGGAGGAAGGAAATTTCTTGCCCGCGTGCTTTCGGCAGCCCACCAGTGCAAACTGCGGAACTTCGGTCGGGTACTGCGGCAGCGTCTCTGGCGAAGATACTCAGAACCACGAGGCATACACTCCGTGGCGTCCTGGATAAACAGACAAGCAGCTTCGAAAGTTCTGGAGTATACTTCTACTCAGTACCACCGGAGAATCGCCGCATCTCCCCTGACTCGCAGCCCTCGGGCAGCGCGAATTACAAACGTGAGAACGGCAGGTAAGCCCCGGGGCTAGGAGCGTCGTCGCACAATCCTACTGCACGGACTTTCGCTGCGCTCAAGCATCGTTCGGGGAAACCTCTGACAAGTGTACGAGTATGCGTGCAGTACTGGAAGATCTCGTCGAGTGCACCGAGCAAACAGATTTACATAGCGCCGAGTGCCCTACAGACTATCACGCCGAAGGGAATAAGATGCCTTGCGACTGCTGCGCCTGACAGCACCCGCAAGGTATCTCTTATAGTCTTGCACAAAGCGCAGCCATCAGTTGCGGACAGAGCGCAGCGGCGCTTACTAGCGACAGTTTCGCCAGTCCCTCGGTGTAGTGAAACCGAACACCAGCCAGTGAGGTCTCCCCCACCTGTAAACAACACGACTGCAGCTGGCTGGAGCACGGGTCCCACGACGGCACGAGTGCCCGCCTGGAAGACAATCTCCAATGTCTGGCGGATGCCAAACAATGCCGGCTTTCGTAAGAGTCCTCCAACTGCGACAAGTGGAAGACAGATTGGGCGCCTCAGCGGAACAGAAGTAAATCATTAGGGAGGCTGTCCGCGGCTGCCAGTGAGCGTGGTCTTTTCCAACGCGCCGGCGGCACCGGCTGAGTCTGTATGCCCCTCTGGCCTCTTTGTGTGTAACCCTACGTAGTAGTTAGGTGAGCGCCGTAAACGCAAAGACGTACACGACTGAGATTTCGCGCGTCAGGCGTTGCCTGGTTAGCTTCTCCGTCTTGAGTCTGCTATGCCTTCGTGTTTCTGCCACACCTCCAACGACACGTGACGGCGTCTAAACGCGCTGTGCGCGGCGCTGCGTACAATCTACTGCACCACTCCGCCGCTTTCGTGGTTTGCTGCAGTCGGTTTCGCCTCGTCCTGGAGGGGCCGGTGAGGTCCACGCCAAGAGTCTAGACAGTCGCAGTGCGCCGTACTCTCGGACGTAGGGCCGCCGGCTACAAGCCGGGCGACCTCTGGGCCGAGCAACAGATGTGCGGCGGCTGGCATACTACGCACCGTGGGACAGGGTCTTATACCGCGGACAGGCAAGGAAGCTCCCCGGTAGGGAAGCACCTGTCGGCTGGCAAGGCAGGCCCGCTGTTCGCACTGCAAAAGGCCGTGGTTACAGCCGCCCACCATTCCACAGACACCAGGCTTGTGTAAACACAGAAACAACCCACTGCAGACAGGATCAACCAAACGAGAACGCGAAGGCACGTTCTCGCCTAATAACGCGTTTGCCAAGCGGCAAACGCAGAGACGCTTATTTCTCCACTAGGCTCGCCCCTTAAGAAACTGGACGTCTGGAGTCGCGCCTAGTACCCAAACATTCATGTGCCGCTCATCGGGGACCTCCCGCCCAGGAAGCGAGTAACGGCCTTCGGCTCGTGGTGGAGCGGGACGGAATATGCCCAGGACCCCGCGCATACGCGGAGCTCACGGCTAGACGGCACCTTTGGCGCATCCTGTTGACTCATATTTCCTAATGTCTCATGCTGTCACTCATTTCTTCACTTGTCTACACTCAAAACAACATGCCGCTTGTGGAAGCCAGAGTCTTCCATGGGTTTTATGCTAAACGAATATTTGCATGCTGATCGTACCCGACTGCGCCAGCGGAACTTGGCCATTTCAGGCTAACAACGTCCCAGAAAGCTGTCTGAATTGGCATCCACATCGCCCGGAATCACTCCGCAGGTCTTGCGTACTTTCGGTGGTGCAGCTGAACTCTACAGAAAGAGGCGCCGTCCTCGTATTCTACTCACAAAGCACATGCAGCGTGTGTCTGAAGCGTGCTTCGTCATTGGCGGAATAGTCCGAATACCCCCTGACGCGCTTCACGTCGGACGCCTGTCCCATGCGGTCTACCAGTGCAACAGCTGCGGTCCAGCTGTAGACAGCGCGACAAGACGGCAGCGCTCCGTTTACCGCGGCCCTTCTTGTCAAGTGCAAACGCCTGTCCAGGTCGTCTTTCTCCGGGCAAGAAGAGGAGGAATTCCGTGGATTCTTCTGTGAACGCCACAGATCTCAGCATGGCTTAAGGCTTCCGTCAGCGTCCCGCTTCCGCCCTGATACCTCTCCACTGATCAGCTTTCCAATGTCCTCAGCCAGTTTTATGGCCTCGACGCGTGGGCCGTAATATTTGTACACGCCGTTCTCCTTGTCCAACAAGAATTTTCCATAATTCCAACCGATGTTCTTCAGCTGCAACGAGGTCACCTCCTGCTGGCGTGCTGTAGAACTGAAAACATCACATGGAGCGATAAGTCGTCAGGTGCGTGGAGAAACGCCCGACGACTGCATATGAATAGGCCCGGGCAAACCGGTTCTCTAGCAAAGTCCTAGTACCTTTGCGCAGCAGAGCGCACGGCACCCCCCGGCGACTACTCTCGCTCGATGGCACGCACACATGAAGGACAGATAGTTTGAACGAGTTCGGAATTTGGTCGGCGTGATGCGCGTTGCGCAAGTGGCGTCGCTGTGTCTATCACAGCACTTGCTAACGGTTCGCTCCGCCCATAGGGCTTACGGCAACCACTGAATTACGACTGCAGTGCGACGCGCAGCCGTGCGATCAGGCCTGGTGTACAGCGGCAATTATTAGATCCACAGACACCTTGCTGCGGTCAGGTAATCTGCGACAGAGCCCCGGTTTGTCTGCATGTAACGGCACGTACGAAATTGGTGCTTGCTCGCGCGCTTGCCCTATCTTTGCTAGCGTAGGTGAGTGCAGACCATCGCTTCCCCTTAAAGCGCAGAAACACGTACGATTGCATGGGATACCACCCACACGAGGGTACAGCAGTCCCCAGATGCGCGGGCTGCCGGCTCACGCCGGCCCACCGATGCAAGCTAACCTTCTCTGCTGCGCACAAACAGCTGGGACGCGCCAGTGCGACGCTGGGGGCAACGTCAAGGCTGGCAAACATCGACAAGCAAGAAGAGAAGCCTTTTTTTGCGTATTTAAACGAGAAATACTACGACTCCGTGCGAATCTCACCTCGTCGCTGTTCGCCTTGCAGTACAGAAATACAGGATTTGTGTGGGGTCCATTTACATCGGAAGTCTCGAAAATCGGAAAGGGAATTTTGGAGCGCTCACAAAATGCCTGGGTGTCTCGCGGCGTCCTTGTACTCTTGTGATGCGAATTGACCGCATGGGAACCCCAAGACCTACGCAGTCGTACAGCCAAGCCACAAGCACAGGGGTCCACACTCTGCACTGAAGTTACACTCACTTTCAAGCATGTGCCAGCTGCCACAAGAATCGCACGCCGCTGCCGCCCTCACGCACCAGAGGCCGAGGGACTCCCCCCGTTGATATCCCCGCGGACGCCGCTTATTCAGAGCCTCACCTGACCTACGCAGAGGGCTCCCCCAGGCGGTGACTTCCACATAGATTTTCTTTGAGTAGCCTAGGACAGAAACATCCCCTCTAAGTGGGCGTACGCCCAGGTGCGCTAGGCGGCTCTTCGCCAGATGCGCTTGTGGCTCCTCGAATAACAGAGTGGGTCCGGCCTTTTTCGCCTACTCGCAGCGAACAGCTTTCTCATGCCTACTGCTTGTGCCTAGTTCGGTAGATACGAGCGGCACAGCGTTCACAACTGGACGGTGCGCGCAAACCGAAGTTCACAGACGTCAACGAGTGCACGGGCGACAGCTCTGCATGCGTGGGGGCGTCTCAGCCGTCGACTGCGAGGCAACATGCCTGATGGAGGGCTTAGCACAGCCAAGCTGCGCTGCGAAAGAAGCTGCGCTGCGATAGAATCACGAAGCAGGTGTAGGAGGAGACGCTGGAAACCGCTGCCTCTGGCATCCGCGCGGGACGCGGAATTTTTCCGCGCAGACGCACTACCCGGAACGCGGGGCACGCAAACACTCGTGTATATATATATATATATATATATATATGTTTTTTTTGGAAGGAGGGACATATATATATATATATACTGTCTGTACAAGGGACCCACAATGAGAAAAGAGTCGACCAACCCCTTGCCGCTGTGCGCCACCGCGTGTTTGGGTGTACAAAAGCCTGGGTCTCCTGTCTACGAGTGTACCGCTAGCGTGAGCTAGCCGTGTCGATTTGCGCCCCCAGTGTACGAAGAAGCGTCGGCAGCGCAGCCTTGTACTACTGCTGCAGCGTCTTGTGCACGCACCCGTCTCCAAATAAATACGGGCGCTGACATATGGAAGTCTCCAGCGACTTCAGCTCTAAGTCAACGCCGTTGTGGGCGTCCGCTGCTGAAAGTATTACGCAGCCCTTGTATGAGCTGTCTGCAGAAAGAACTGTGTTTTGCCCTTGTATGGAGCCGTGTGTTCGCAGTTGTTCTCGTGATATAGCAGTTTCAGCAGTCACCTCGAACGCTTCCCGTTCCGTATCGTTCCCGCAGCTCGATCAAACCTGCTGTACTGGCCTTCGTCAGTCCGCACTTGGAGGCCACGTTGACGATCAGTTTGACCTGAGAATACCACGTAGAAGGCCGTCCACCGCACTGCGGATAAACATGGTGGTGTTACGACCCTACGCTATAAAGACCGTGAGTAAAGCAGTAAAAACTGTGCGTCACGGCGTCTACGAGAAGTGGCATTTTCTGGCGCTCCTCTATACAGGTACGAAAACAACAACGGGTGGAATTCAGCCAAAATCATATCCACCAGACGCAGTCAGAACCCGCCAAACCCTGGAATGGCAGATGAACATCTCCAGATTTCGTATGCGCAGACCCTTGGGAAAACAATATATGCACAACGCAGCCATACGTGCTAATGCAACAAAAGCGGAACGCGTCGTTGAATAGTGCTGCAGAGGTCACACTGGAGTACTGCTACAGAGGTCACACATGTGTGAAGCAGTTGGCCTGTGCTACGGCGTCCAGCTTCAGGACCCTGATGCTCACATGTTAACGGTGTGTCTCCTTTTTTCAAAGGCACCCCAGAAAACAGGATATGCACAGGCATGGCACGCACGGGGCTATAATCGTGTTGACTAGACGTCTACACGAGCTTCCGGGTGCAAGTGCTTGAACGCAACACACAACTGTGCTATTGCTATGTACGCTGCACCGGTAGGCGGGCGACTGTCGCAGACGTGCACAGCGGGCGCGCCTGCTATTGTGATATGCTGTGGACTCGAACGTGGGCGAGTTTGCAAATGTGCAAAGCTAAACATGACCGGCGGCATTGATTCTAGTTACTTAGGAAGAGGACTGAATATACATACGCACTTCCCTACAAATTTATCTACATACCTGTGCGTGCAAACACTAAAGTTGTAAGCACAATGTGTAGGCGCCAGTTTCAGCAGTTGCCGCATTACTTGCTCGCCAACCACTGCTGTCCACCGCCAGCTGCGTGGCGGTGGACCCGACAGCCCCCTGCACAAACGCGGAAGTCGCGCCATACCGTGATTGCCCTTCTGCTCCAAAAGCCCGTATACGAGACTGCGCTTGCCCCTGATATACATATATAAGTACATACATATAGACACGTATTTATAGGAATATATATACATACCTATATATAGAGATATATCTCTCTCCATATGCAGATATATATGTATATACATACATAAGCAGAAAAGATCAAGCTCGGCTAGCCTGTGTGACGCGCAAAGACTACACAAACAACCCCTTAAGACGCTGCTTAAAAAGAGCACATGTCTTGAATGTAATAATAATAATAATATAGCGCCTCATGTAGATGTCTTCATGGGCCTTTCTCTGTCCCCCACGCCAGTACGGATAAACTGCCGCGTACTTCGACGTAGGACCCTGCGAACGGAGTACCTCTTTTCGTCATATACATACAAATATATATACACATATATATATAGGAGCACTCCTGCGTACCCAAGCTGCTGTTATAGAGTACTGATATTTGAAGGAATGGTAAACATCAAGCTTGTTCTCTTTTGTACTTGAGATGTTTCGTGTGACGTGAACGTTTGCCATCCCTCTCTTCACATCAACTTCCTATGAGGCAGCTTGTCCGGTACTACGTGCGCTCTGACTGCCCCGTCACGAAGAAGAAGAAGAACCAGCAAAAGTGCCATTACCTTTCCATCCCATTCACTTAGAGATCGCTCGCGCCCGGTAATGTCCTTCATTCTGATTTCGCCAAAATTCCGGGGGATCGCCGCAGCTTCAAAAGCCCCCTTACTCCACGCAGCACCCATCTGAAACAGCACGTCATGCACGACAGCACGCAGACACAAGCTTAGGAGAGGAGTCCGCTGACAGCAGCATGCTGCTATATACTATATATACATACGGAGTGTCTCATACATTAGTATGCGTATAGAGAGTTCGTCACCCATGCTCCAAGCTAAAGAAGGAAGGTCATCGAGACGACCTGTCCGCAGCGGCTACTTCTTTAAACGACGCGCGTGGACTTCGTGAAACAACAGCTGCGGGGGCGCGTGTGAACGGTCATATTTGGTAGGACAGGTGCTTCAGTGACACTACAGCCGCTCGTCTGGTGTAAGTTTGAAAGTGGGAAGGCGTGCCCAATGCACAGAAAAAAAGACAACCAGCCCTGACGCTTGACACCGGCGTACGCGTGTACCAAGAAATAAAATAGATATATATACATAAATATATATGCAGTCGATAGCGTCTGACTGCCAAACTGCCACGCTCGGAGGACAACATCCGGTGGGCACTTTAACCGAACAGAAGCGTTCTCACATCTGATCATATCCAGCATTGACGTTTCACGCCGGCATACGTGTGCACGAAGGAAAGAAAAATATACATATATATACATATACATATATATATACACAGTCGATAGCGTGTGACTGTTGCCACACTGCCACACGAGTAGGAAAACATCCGATGGGCACTTCAGTCGAACACGGGCGTTTTCACATCTGTATCATACTCAAGCCTACGCCACTCCGTACATGCGTGCCAAAGGTAACAACGCAGACAGCTCATAAGAAGAAAAAAGTGCCTTCCCGTTTGGGCAGCTTGTTTGTGAACCGACTTCAAAAGGCACTACCCCGTTAGTTTGCCGCGGAAGCTAGCTACGCGTACAGCGGATAAAAAAAAAGTAGGTGCTTTTCCGGTAGAGTAGCTAGCCTGTGCTTCCACTTCAGAAGGCACTGCACCGTCAATTTGCGGCGGAAGCCAACTAAACATGCAACGGATAAAAAGAGGAAAAGAAAAAGATGTTCTTCCGGTAGAGCAGCGTGCGTGTGCTCCTACTTCAGAAAAAAGTACCCCAGTACTACTACCACTACTACTAGTAGTATTACTGCTACTGCTATTGTTACTACTACTACTGCCGCCACTGCTACCACTACCACTACTACTACTACTACTACTACTATTTGCTGCGTGAGGCTCCCCCCCCCACGCAACAAAGAAATTGTTGTACGTCTGTAAAAGATATATGTATATACATCTGCCGACGTACATCCATACGAACATACGTATACATAAATACGTACACAAATACATACATACATACATACATACATACATAATTACGTCCACACATACGTAATTACATACACACATACGTACATGGATACATGCTTACATACACAAGTACAGAAGTCCACCTACGTATGCATGTATATATCAGTGGTCTTTGCGATCCTATACACCTTGAAGGTTGTGATATGATCCGCGAAGGGAAGCCCGCCGGGGCCCCGCTTGCAGAGTTTGCCGTTTTCCCGGAAGCTGCTCCAACAGATCCGCACAGTTCCTGTGTCTCTGTATATCTGTATAGTTGTATCTGCTGCTGCTCAACTGACGGAGGACGTGTGATATGAGGCTCTGCGCATGAAGCCCGGCGGCATGCATATATAGATAGATAGATAATATATATGTATACATACTGTGTTTACATATGTATATAAACCTATATTTACTCGAACGGCCTGCAAGCCGGGGATTACGACAGCGGCACCCCTACTTTTCCGCCCCGTCACTTGCTGCCTCGGCTTGAAGAAAACAAGCGTAAGAAAGCCGCTAGGCCCTCAGTTCCGACAGATTTTCCGGAACAAGGTGTGAAATGCGGCTATGTGTACGGTTTCTGGGGGGCAACACGCGTTTACTCGAAGTGCCTGCTGGAGGCCGGAGACTCCGACTGTAGCGGTGCGCTTACTTTTCCGCCCTGTCTTTTGTTACGTCGTCTTTGGGAAGAAGAGTTGACCAAAACATGTGGATCCTCAGAGTCCGCTCCGGCGCTATGTATATGTATATATACGTGATGTGTGTAAAGCGGAAGTAACGCGTCACCCGGGGACGATAAACAGCGCTCTCCGTGTGCGGGCTTTTGCTCCGTTAAAGCCAGATGAAAGCTGTATTACTTCTTGCTGGCCTTGGAGTTGCCTGGCTCTTAACGTTGTATGGAAGAAATGGAGAGAGGAGGAGTCTGACACACAGCTACTAACTAGGTCCTCAGTGTCGCGTCTCGCGCCTTTTCACATAAACAGCGCTCTACAATACTTTTGATGTTACAACGCCACTAAATTCTTGACCAATAAGCTTTCTGAGCTGTATGGAAGAAATGGAAGAAGGAAGAGTATGACACTAAGCTACGAGGTCCTCAGTGTCGCGTCTGGCGCGTTCTTCCGCAGCGTAAGGGATGGAGCACGCGGGCAAGACGACGAGCAGGGCGAAAAACCGCTGAGAAGCCCGTGTGCCGCCACTAAGCCCCTCCTCCGTTTGAAGTATACAGGGAGAAGGGAGAGCCACACTGCTGGAAGTAAGAACGAAGAGCAGATAGTGACGGTCCCTGTAGTTACGGTTCATACGTACCTAGAACTCCTAGTAATCATAATAAAACTCTTTCAGTTATTTATCGCAGGAGAATTCCTGCATTCGTCAGGAAGTCGGATGTAGGGAAATTTTCCGGGAATCCTGGAAAGTCGTATGTGAAGAAATGTTGCAAAAGTTTATGTATGTAAGTAGATTTTCCAGGGATCCTAGAAATGCGTATGTAAGGAAATTTTCCAGCGATCCTAGGGTTCCGGGGTCAACGGCCTGCCCGTGCCGTAGTCCAGTCGAAAAATCAGAGCAAAAAGCGAATCTCCTGCGTGTGAACACTGGTAGACGAGACGGCCCGTGATACAAAGCTTCTGACAGAAGCTAGAAGAAAACATGCGCGGCTTCTGATAGAGACATACATCCGCATATCATATAAAAAAAACGAGTGCCCGTAGAACACAAAAAATAGACCCCAGACGGCGTTCGTGGTTGACTACGAAAAATTCGTACCAACACGCAGCACGTACCACGGAAACGGTATACGAGGGCAGACACCGGGGAGTTCTCTCCTATTCAGAGAGACAAAGGCCCAAAGGTGGTCTCAGCTTCCTCTTTCGTGTTGCGGCGCAGGGAAAATTTGATTCCTCAAAATAATTAAATCCTAAAACATATCTCACCACCGCTCCGCGCCAGGCTCGGCGGCGGAGTGCAGGAGCCCGCGCGTGCATGCTTTGACGCGGCATTTCCGACCGTTGCTAGCGAAATCTCCCTCTACCCCCCTAGAGACACTCGATACTTTCCTTACTACACATTTGCTCGAGAACATTGTGCGTACCACGGACAGATCTGCTGTACAACGTGCCGTGTTGTTTCGGTTTGTCTCTGGTCTTACACTTGTGTTGCCACGTCTCGCGGTCCTCTTTCTGATGTACGGGTTGAAGCGTAATTTCCAGGTTCTGCAGTCACCGCGTGTGGCAGCATCCGGTGAAGTGCCCCCTCGCGGTAGCTAGGGCCTTGAAACATCCTGCTGATCTTGCCATCACGCCTACCATGACACCTCGGCATCCGGAGAATAGACGTTTACTACGTATATATATATATATATATATAGGTATACGTGTATATATGTATATAGGTATATGTATATCTATACGTAGGTATATCTGTATTCAGATGTATATGGACGCTCAGGAATGCTGTAGGCGCCGGCAAGCGTCAGGCTAGGTACAATAGACGGAAGTGACGTTTACTACGTACACATACACATATATATATTAAGTATATGTATGTACATATGCATATATACATATATATATGTATATGGTCAGTCAGGAATGCTGTAAGCGCCAACGAGGGTCAGGCTGCATACAGTAGACGGAAGTGGACGGGTTTCAAGCAGCAGCTGCTCCGAGAACCACTGCGCAGTGCTATAGCTGCAGTAGAGAAGCAGCAGCTGCTCCATGAGTCTGTGGGATGATGATACTACTATACGATTAATACTAGTAAGAGTAATAATAATCTCTGAATAACTGGAAAACCTACCAAAAGTTGTCTCAAATGCAGTTGGGACCTTAGCTAGAGAAGGTAGAATGTTTAGTGCGCGTTTCTATCGATGAGCATCTTCTCCGTTTTTCCCTCCGTAGCCCCATTCCGCGGCGTGCCGTTGTACTGTGCTTCTGCTCCACATCCGGTCCATATGCATATATATAATACTTATGTGTATAGTAAACTATATACGAGTATACAAGCATATATTCCACTGTATAGATACGTAGCTACAGTTACATACACGTGTATATACATGTCTCACCTGTCGCCACAACGATTCTTCAGTTTCAGTACACGTTATCTGTGCACGTGACGCACCACGTGAGCCACTTCTTGCCCCCTTCACACATTATCATTAGCCACTCTCCCGTTTCTTTCATTGTATAGTCTCTGGCTGGCAGTGCGTACCTGAGTTCCCAATCTGAGAGTGTTATACCACACGCGTGCACTGTGTTTAGCCTCGTTGTGTAGTCTTCAACTGGCGCTACGTATCTAAATACCCAGCCTAAAAGTGTCGTACTACGCATGTGCAAGGTCTTTAACAAGTGCTGCGCGACAAGAAGCCCACTCACACACTCTCGTCAGGCTCTCATCAGGCACTCTCTCGTTTCTTCCATGGCGTAGTCTCCGGCTGGCACTATGTATGTAGATACCCAACCTGAAAGTGTTATACCACGCGTGCGCAAGGTGTATACCAAGTGCTGCGCCACAAGAAGCCCAAGGCACAACAACACCGCCGTGTGTGTTAAGTATTGCAGGGGGGCTGACCCAGCTGGCTGTTGGTCGCTTCGTGATTGAAAGCTCGTAGCACACCTGCTTCCGTAGTGTATATGCGCGTATATATGTATGCGCGTTTGAAGGTATAGTGATTGAAAGCTCGTAGCACACCTGCTTCCGTAGTGTATATGCGCGTATATATGTATGCGCGTTTGAAGGTATAGTGAGACGAATAGCCACGCATATACGCTCACGTGCATGCTACAGCTGGGCCGCTCTGAGCCAATCGTACGTGCACAGTGCTGAAGTAAGTGGCGTCTGTTAGATTTGAGGATCGAGTTGACCTCCACAGAGACGCGTACACGTGGTGCAGGGACGCGGCGGCAGCCATGGGGTTCTCCCTTTTACAAATCATGTACTCTCGTACATGATATGCATATATGTATATACATATACGTATATATATATATATATATATATATATATGTATATATATGTATATACATTTGTATACAAGTACAAGTATGCAGCAGTACGTCGAGAAACAAAAAACTACTTCTGATTCGGATCTTTATCACATTACGATACCATATTTCAAGCAATGAATTTTATGTTCAATAAAAATTTTTTTTTTTACTTCCAGAGTGAATTAGGGTCAGTTTTCGTATATTTTATAGATATGGTTCAAGAACGTTAACTTGATTCCCATCACTTACAATTGATTTTTTATCCTAGGTCCGATTTGAACGCACGAGTGTGTCCCTGATTCTCATGTTTACTATAAGACAATACCACGTTTCTAGCAAAAATTCTTATGTTCAATGAAAAATCATTCTTTCACTTCCGTAGTAAATCGTCATCAATATTTGTACAATTTAAAAATATGGTTCAAGAAAATTAACTTGATTTTCATCGATTACAATTATTCTCTATAAATACGGTCAAGATTATCAACTCGATTCCCATCAATAGCAAATAGTTTCTATGAATGTGGTTCAAGAGCATTAACTCAGTTCCCATCGATTACGACTAATTTCCTCTCTTAGGACATATCTAACCCAACGGTGCGGCCCCTAAGAGTTGGTGTGGCGCGGCTACCGCCGCCTCCACAGGCCCTCGGTGTTCACATATATCTACATGTATATATATGTGTTTACAGGACTAGAACGCTCGTGCTCGGATATCTGCTGACAAGTGTGTGGGTGAAGCTTTAGCCGAAGAATTGGTACAGCAGCCCGCAGGTGGCAGTTGCACCTGGCCTTCCCCCGTTGTACCTTGCGAGAGCGAGCTGTAGCAGGGCGAGCGATTGAATGCCACGTGTATTTCATTGTTATGCAGCCTCTGTAGTAGTAAAAGAATACTCAAGTCACCCTCCCACATATATACATATGTATATATATATATATATGCCTGGTAGCAGCGACGGGAAGCAAGCCAGGAAGCCTGGCGCTTCTGTACTTGCCGCCGCTTCTGTACTTGCTGACATTTCTGCACTTGCTGACGCTTTCTACTTCTGCGTTAGGCAGCTACATGATGCGCAGGCATCTGCCCATATAACACTCTGCTGCGGTGTGTATATCATAACTTGCTGCCGCCTTCTACTTCGACGTCAGATAGCTAGATGATGCACAGAAATCAGCGCACATAAGATTCAGCTGCGATGTTTACATCATAAACGACCCAGTTGACGTCTACCTGAGCTTCTACGCCAGTCCGAGTTGTTTCCATTGAAACGCTCAGCGCTGTACAATACACTGAGAACACGGATTTTTATTTAGACGCCGCCCCGTTGTGGGTGCGCCCCTAGTTGATACGGATTTCTGCTCACATACCGCTATGTTGTGGGTGAGCACCTGACAAACGCATGCATATGTTTCGGTGCGGGAGATGTTTTAATTACGCTCGGCAGGCCCTTTGCCTACGCGGAAATAACAGCTCGCCAAGATGCGCGGGGCACTTACGTACTTCTAGAGGATTATTCGCGTGCTGGATGCATAGCATGCGTCATTAGATGAAGCACATTGATGTGCACACAAGTACGTGTATCACTTGCTTCGAGGTGGCTGACTGCACTTCTGCTCCGCCTAGCGTCTCTTCTACTAACAGCCGAAGCAATCCACGGCTGCAGTGCCTGTGTGGCTCGTTTTCCACTCTCTGCCCCAGCTGCAAGTGTCCTCATCGTCCGCGGCTTCCTTTCATATGGCGTATATGTAAGAGAAATTAAGGCGAACACACCGTCTAAGAACAACACTTGTTACTACTGGAACCAGCTACCCTGTCAGCTGGAATTCCTCTCCACGTCTTCAGCTGGTTCTCTGCACGTGGGCCACGTCTAGCGTCTGTTTCTTAAAGCCGAAGAAGCCGTGCACTGGTGCAGTAGTTCTGTCTTGTGCAGCTTTGGCGGATGACGTCAGGTGCAGTCTCATCGTCTTCCCTGCCTCCTTGGTCTGAATTTATATATACATGTATATACACATACGTGGAGTACGTACCTCTATGTATATATGCATGTAATATATTGACACGATTCGGAGCCGACTGCCTGCACGTGTGCGGCGTCTAGCGCCTCTCTGAGTAAGCGTCGAAGCCCCGCCCCGCTGCACTGTCCGACGTTGTTCAGCTTTGATTGTTGGGCAGCTGCAAGGGTCATTAGTGTCCGTGCCTTTCTTCAGTTCGGTAGAAATCGTCAGCCGCTAGAGGCATTTATACATGTGTGCTTGCATATACGGCTACGTGCACCTATGTTGGGGTTTAGCATCTCCTGTAGCGACAGCCGACGCAGTGCGCAGCTGCTGTGGTCCCGCGCTGCTTGCCTTTGACTGTCGGGGCCCAGCTGCTGCCGCATCGTCTTTCGTGCCTTCCTTTAGTTCCTTCAGTACACATGCGACATATATATACATACACATATATACTCGTATATATACATGAGCAGAAGCCAGGACTTTGGGCCGGCTACCTGCGCCCGTACCGCTTCAAGCGTCTCCTTCTAGCGACGCTAAAGCCGACGACGAAGAAAGATATGTAACGGTGTTCACATCGCGTGCGCCTTGTAGCGTCGAAGCAGTGCACGCGGCTCGTTTCCTTGAGACGATACGCCCCCACCAGCGGAAGTAAGCGCTAACAGAACACACATGTCTGAATATATATATATATATATATATATATATATATATATGTGTGTATGTACAGACGCCCCGTGCCCGTGCTCCTTCAGTATATCTCGTGGCCAGACTTTGTCCGGAAAAGGAGCCGCCGGTGGTCTCTATCCTTTGCAGCATCCCACAGAGCGTCTCTATTGTAGCTCCCTCCAGCGTTATCGTTGGAGGGAGCAAAGCGAACTGGTACATGAAGGGCAGCTGTCAGCTGCCTGAGCTCGGCGCAGCAACAGTGGAGGTAACCGCCTTAGCTATGCGTTTTCCACTCTGTCTACCAGCAACAGCCGCAGTAGTAAAGGAGCAGTTACCCGGCGCGGCTACAGCAGCAATACGCAACGGCTGGCTTGCAGCTGCTCTCTCAGTGCACGTACCACGGAGGAAGAAACTGAACAAGAAGCATTTAGTCAGGAGAAATTTGATCAGACAAAACCGCGGCAAGCTACGAGCCACATCACGGTCTGTACAAAGTAGGCTCCAGCTTTGCTTAGCACGTACCTACTCCACGGGCGCGTGTGCACCCTGGCTTTGCTTCGCACGTAGGTGCTTCACAGGTGCTTGTGCGCCTGTGAATAATATAGAGCACCGCGACGCCAGCAGCAGTTGCGGGGACGTCACGCCGTGTAGCAACGGCTTCACCACCTGCGCGAGCAGGAACGGACTCTCCGCTCTTTCATCTGTGTGCGTGAGGAGGACTCGGTCTGACGCTACGTCGGACTCTTCGAGTTCGTTTCAGACGGATCGGACGGGTCCTACACTTCCCAGTCGCTCTCTGCCCGCTGCTTCTTTCTTGTCAGTGCTGCGCACAAACAGAAGAAGCAATGGGAGAAGAGGCCAGAGCTTGGATGCGGGATCTGCTTTCTCCACACGTCGAAGACCCCTCCATTCATGAAGTCTGTCGGCGTACCAGTGCGGCTTTCTTGGGTCGTTCTGCTCCGCAGTGGAGGCACATGACGAATCGACAAAGATCTGGTCCTCCTCTTTGGTCGTGGTTACACTTGTCGGTTCCCCCCCCATCCTTCTCAGAGGGCGCCCGCCTAAGGTTCTGCCGACCACCTTACTGGCGATTTATCGGTAGCCCCCCCTATCGCCTCTCTTCTTGCTTGTTCCTGCTTTGCATCGACTGATGGTGCATCTGTATGCAGTATCTCGCCTGCCGCCGCCAGGCCGGACTCTTCGAGTTTAGTTCAGAGGGCTCGAAAAGGTCTTACACTTCCCAGTCGCTCTGTGTCCGCTGCTTCTTCTTTGTCCTCTGCTTCTTTCTTTATGGCCCGCGCTTCTCTGGTTCCGTTGACTCCGTTGCCTCTTCCTTCCTCTCATTTACCTAAATGCAAGTACGTATTCCCCCTCTCCTTTTTCTCTGCGTTGTCTCGTGCGGTCTTCCGCTGCTTCTGTATCCCCTGCTTCTAATCGTCTAAGCCCTATAGCAGCGCGTGGAGGGTCCGCTGGTTTATCGCCCCCAACGCGTGCAGGCTCCGCTAATCAGTCAACTCCCACCCCAGCCGTCTCGCGTAGGTCTTTCTCTTCTTTGCTTCACCCTGCTCGCCTGTGGCCGTGTGCGCAGCAGCTGCACGCGTCTTTGCTGCTGTCGATGCTGCAGCGAGGAGAAGTGGCAGCGCCCACCGACGTGCAAGAACGTTCTGTTCCTTCCCTTCTCGCAGGCGAGTCGTGCCTAATCATCGCGCCCCACTGGCAGCGGCAAGACGTTAGCGTGGGCGCTGCCGCTGCTGTCGGGTCTGCTGCATGCCGACCGCGAGCGGTTGGCGCCGTTTGCGCGCCAGCCACGTCTGCTGGTGCTCGTCCCCTCTCGCGAGCTCGCACAACAACTTCAGGACGAGCTGCGCAAACATTTCGGTGCTACCGGTGTATCTATTGCGTCGGCAGCAGCAGGACAATCGTACGTCAAAGAAGTTAGAGCACTTATGGGAAGGGGGGGGGCCATCGTCTGGAAGCGGCACCCCAGCAGGGGCAGACGTACTTATTACGACACCAGCAAGATTGATGCTGCACCTGCACAAGCGAAATGTGAACCTTCGAAGAGTTCGAGCCGTTGTGGTGGAGGAGGCAGACACCCTGTGTGACACCTTCTATGAGCAAGAACTCTTGTTCGTCCTCGATGCACTACTACATCAAGTTGAGGCGGGGTATGTCGGTGGCCGTGCCAGTGCAGCAGCGCTTGATGCCGCCACAGCCGCCTCTGGCGGGGCAGAGTGGAGAGAGTACATCGAGCGAAAGCAGCAGACAAGGCTGGAGCTTCTAGACTCGCTTAAAAGAACGGGAATATCTATGCGGCCGCAGACAAACGTTTGTGCATTGCTGCCACCCGCTGCGGCGTCGTCAGTGGGGGCTGGAGCTGCTGCTGCTGCTGTGGCGGATTTACGTCCGCAGCTGCAGCTCGTGTTCGTCGCAGCGACGAAAACCGGTGCATTGGGTCGATTCCTTCGGGAGGAACTACGGGGTCTCCAGCTGACGACTGTCTGCGCGCCCGACGCGCACATGACAAATCCAGGGGTGCAGCAGGTGTTTGTTCGCCTTGCTGGTGAAGACCGCATAGGTCGACTTCTGGAGGTCTTAGCGGAGAAAGAAGAAGATCTAACGGGGGAAGGCGGAGCCGACGGACGAGCTTCAGCAGAAGGGAAGAAAACGATTGTCTTCTGCAACACAGTCAACAGCTGCAGGCAAGCCCGTGTCCCCCCTAGCGGTCTGTTTGTCTGTAGTAGTAGATGTTGTTGTGGTCGCAGTAATCGCGGTAGTAGTGGTACAGTCCGTGCGTTCTGCGGGGGAAGTCAGTGCTGCTAGCAGGGCTTGTCAGAGTTCTACACGAACTGAACAGCCAACAGCTGCAGGCACGCCCGAGCCCCGATAGCGGTCTGTTTGTCTGCTGTGGTGGTAGTAGTAGTAGTAGTAGTAATAGTAGTAGCAGCAGCAGTAGTAGTAGGAGTAGTCTAGTCTGTGGGTTTTGTGGGGATGCAGTGCCGTTGGCAGGGCTTGCTAGAGCTTTTCACAAATTAGACAGTCGACAGCTACAGGCACGCCCGTTTCCGCGATGGCGGTCTATTTGCCCGTTGTAGTAGTAGTAGTAGTAGTGGCAGTAGTAGTAGTGGCAGTAGTAGTAGTAGCAGTAGTAGTACAGTCTGTGCGTTCTGGGGGGACTCAGCGCCAGTAACAGGGCTTGCTTGAGCTTAGCACAAATGAGGCAGTCAACAGCTGCAGGCAAACCCGTTTCTCCGATAGCGGTCTGTTTGCCTGTTGTAGTAGTTGTTGTAGCAGTAGTAGTAGTAGTAGCAATACAGTCTGTGCGTTCTTGGGGGGTTCAGCGCCAGCAGCAGGGCTTGCTAGACGTTTGCACAAACTAGAGAGTCAACCGCTACAGGCAAGCCCGTTTCTCCGATAGCGGTCTGTTTGCCTGTTGTAGTAATAGTAGTGGTAGCAGTAGTAGTGGTAGTAGTACAGTCTGTGCGTTCTGGGCGATTCAACGCCACTAGAACGGCTCGCTAGAGTTTTGCACAAGTTAGACTGTCAACAGCTGCAGGCAAACCCGTTTCGCCGATAGCGGTCGGTGTGCCTGTTGTAGTAGTGGTAGTAGTAGCACTAGTAGTAGTAGTAGCAGTAGTACAGTCTGTGCGTTCTGGGGGATTCAGCGCCACCAGCAGGGCTCGTTAGAGTTTTGCACAAATGAAACTGTCAACAGCTGCAGGCAAGCCCGTTCGTCCGATAGCGGCGGTCTGTTTGTACCTGTCCACTCTGTGCGTTCTGTGGAATTCAGTGCCCCTAGCAGGGCTTGTTAGAGTTCTGCGCGCGTCAAACACCACATAGTCCGGAATCACGTTGCATAGATCCTCGTGTATAGATATATATACACATATAGATACATACATATACAAATAGGTGTACATATGTGTAAAGA